AAGTCATTTGTAAGTATTTGTAAGCACAATTTGGTAATTTGTAAGTACAGCCGTTTTCAATTATCCTCAAAAGTTTAAATCACGGCTAACTTTCGCGAAACTTGGCCGTTTCAGCATTTCAAAGCTTTTGACTACTCCAAATCGTCAAGGGCAATTTTTAAGTATTTGTAAGCACGAATTTAGAATTTGTAAGTCATCCCTTCCTTAATTATCCCTTAAAGAAAGTTGGCCGTGCTTTGTCGAGCTTTTGGAACTTTGAATGTGCCAAATCGTCAAGGGCAATTTGTAAGTATTTGTAAGCACGAATTTAGAATTTGTAAGTCATCCCTTCCTTAATTATCCCTTAAAGAAAGTTGGCCGTGCTTTGTCGAGCTTTTCGAACTTTGACTGTGCCAAATCGTCAAGGGCAATTTGTAAGTATTTGTAAGCACAAATTTAGAATTTGTAAGTCATCCCTTCCTTAATTATCCCTTAAAGAAAGTTGGCCGTGCTTTGTCGAGCTTTTCGAACTTTGACTGTGCCAAATCGTCAAGGGAAATTTTTAAGTATAATTTGTAAGCACGAACTGGGGTAACGTTACTCCAGTACCACCATCGGCTTGTATTGGTTCCACCAGGCCCGTATTGAGGGGAGGGCCATTGCCCCTCTTGGTGCGACTTTTGGGTGGTAAATTTTTATGAACTTTTTTTATTATTAAGCCAACATAGTTATAACTTTAAAATTATGTAAAATAATTTTTTCCTTATGTATAGTGATTTGGTGGAGATTTCTCCTAAGTTTATTTTAGGATGATATTCTTTCAAATTTATTTTATACTAATAATAATAATTATTCTTTGGATAACTGACAATGGCATGATAGCAGCCCTCAGCTAGCGTAGTTGTAAATAAGTAAAAAACAACATAATAATAAGGTTTATTTTACAAAAAAATATACATTTGCAACAAAAATGTATAATTGATACACAATCTAGATTTTAGATATGATAAAACAATCAAATTTGATAAACAATGTATTATTTAATAAAAAATCTTGATAGGATTTAAATATGATAAAAAAAACTATTGATTTTGGTAAAAAAATTTTTAAAAAATCTAAATTTGGTAAAAATCTTGTTAAAAAATGTATATAAAATTGTTAATCAAATTTTTTTTTATCAAAAAGATTTTATCAAGATTTTTATAAAATTTACTTTTTTTTTATCAAATATAGATTTTTATCATATTTAAATCTTACCGAGATTTTTTTATTCTATTTATATTTGTTTTATTTAGTATACATTTTTTTATCAAAATTCTTAAAAATTTTAAAGATTTTTTTATCAACATTTATATACATTTTTATCTTATTTAAATCTTATTTAGATTTTTTTATTCTATTTATATTTTTTATGAAATAATAATTTTTTTTTATGAAACAATTTATTTTTTTATAAAATTTGTATTTTTTATCATATCTAGAATCTCAATTGTGTATTAATATACATTTTTCTTTAAAATTTATATTTTTTTTATCAATTTTTTTTTATTATTTTTATAAATTTTTTATTTATTTTTAGTTTTATTTTATTTTATTTTATATACATTTTTTATCAAGATATTTACCAAAATCAATATAGTTTTTTTAATCATATTTAAATCCTATCAAGATTTTTTATTAAATAATACATTGTTTATCAAATTTGATTGTTTTATCATATCTAAAATCTAGATTGTGTATCAATTATACATTTTTGTTGCAAATGTATATTTTTTTGTAAAATAAACCTTATTATTAAATAATAAATTGTTAATCAAATTTTTTTTTATCAAAAAGATTTTATCAAGATTTTTATAAAATTTACTTTTTTTTTATCAAATATAGATTTTTATCATATTTAAATCTTACCGAGATTTTTTTATTCTATTTATATTTGTTTTATTTAGTATACATTTTTTTATCAAAATTCTTAAAAATTGTAGATTTTTTAAAGATTTTTTTATCAACATTTATATTCGCACCAAGAGGGGCAATGGCCCTCCCCTCAATACGGGCCTGGTGGAACCAATACAAGCCGATGGTGGTACTGGAGTAACGTTACCCCAGTTCGTGCTTACAAATTATACTTACAAATTGCCCTTGACGATTTGGCACAGTCAAAGTTCGAAAAGCTCGACAAAGCACGGCCAACTTTCTTTAAGGGATAATTAAGGAAGGGATGACTTACAAATTCTAAATTCGTGCTTACAAATACTTACAAATTGCCCTTGACGATTTGGCACATTCAAAGTTCCAAAAGCTCGACAAAGCACGGCCAACTTTCTTTAAGGGATAATTAAGGAAGGGATGACTTACAAATTCTAAATTCGTGCTTACAAATACTTAAAAATTGCCCTTGACGATTTGGAGTAGTCAAAAGCTTTGAAATGCTGAAACGGCCAAGTTTCGCGAAAGTTAGCCGTGATTTAAACTTTTGAGGATAATTGAAAACGGCTGTACTTACAAATTACCAAATTGTGCTTACAAATACTTACAAATGACTTACAAATTATTTACAAAATTTGGAGTCAAAATTTTGACATTGTGAGGCTAACTTCACGGACCTCGGCAAATAGATTTTCTAACCGAACGCGCGGTTTGGAAATGAAAACAACGGAATTCAAACAAATATCATGACAAATATTTAAATTGCGATTGTAGGGAAAAACGTCATGATTATAATATCAGCTATTATGGGTTTATGGTTTTTTTGTAAGTGTCGTCGAATCATGGTTCACGCGCGAGGTGACCTCCTGCACGCGCGTATAATATACTTAACGCCAGCTACGTCAAATCAACTCTCGGAATGGTGTTGTGGTCATGATATATTATTATATATTATGAGACGCGTATGGTATTAAATAGAAGGTACAATAATAACATTGTGTTTACCCTTATAGGTACCTACTATATCGGGCACTCCATAGAATATTTAAATATTATATTATTATTATTATTATTTCTCTGAAATCCGTGCGCAGAGTGATTGTGGTAAAATAAAAACATATAGCCAATAGTCAATAATGCACGGTAACTGCGGAGTTCTGCGAAGGGTCGAGCGAAAAAAGAATAAAAAACAATTAAGAAAAAAAATGAACAGTTAAAAAGTACACGTCAAGTCGAACGGTTGCAGACGCGACGACGTTGTAGTCCTTCGAGTCAAGTCACACGTACTCGCGTATATATAGGTAAAAATCGGAGTAAGATTAAATTCTAACCCACTTTCGCAGTGTCGTGTTCGTATTTCACACGTCACCGCCGGTGTAGTACTATATATTTATAAGCACACACACATACACAAAATCTGAGTACTCTCATGTAATAATATGAGTGTAATGTCTGGCGGACGTGCAAGGTTCAATTTTTTTTTTCGAACATGGTAGTCGAACAGTTTTCGGGACAGACGAATGCCCGACATATACGGTACATGTGCGATGCGCGTGTTTCGTATTACGACGACGACGACGACGATGATAAATGATAATATACCTAATAATATTTACCCATATTATACACATACCTACTATACTATGTCTTATATATATTACGTATTATTGTTGTTATTGTGTTTGTTTATAATATTATAATATTATATACCGTATCCGTCTACAAAATACCTATACCCTATAGGGTCAAGGTTGACATGAAAAAACCCGGGCTGCTTTTCTAGGTTAAACCCACTTGAAATTTTGAAAAACCCATTCAAAAAACCATGGCTACTATTCTGGATGAAATAGAAATTCATTCCAAATTATTGTTTTTAACTTGTGTTATTTTTCAGAAAAGTTTAACTTATAGGCATTATTTATATTTACAATTAAACTTTGATAAAAAAAAATATATATCTATCAATAATTAATATTAAGTATGGATTCAAATTCCGTACATTTTCATCTGGCTTTACAGATGTTAATTTGTGAGTTTAGTAATTATTCAAGAATAAACTACTAACGACAAACAAAAAACTTAAAAATGCCATTAATGTTAAAAACCACTAATGTCAATGACAATGGGAAAATGTCGGCATGTCAATGTCTGATATATTATACATAGTCGATAGAGGATATAATATATTATTATTATAATATTATAGCAGATATAGGCACGTGCAATAAAATAATATTATATTATTATAATTTATTCGCTTTAAAGTCAGCCGATTTGTCTTCTCATCTGAAGCATAATAATAATAATATAACGTACGGTTTCCGGCTACGTATCGGTTGCCACCTTTCTTATCAGCGCACACAGTGTCGATAATATTGCGTACATCGCAGGTAGGCATACAACAATCGTCATATTGTACATCTAATATAATAATATGTATGTTCATATTTAATACCATTAGACCAGCTCCCGCCCAGCCTCCCCCCCCCCAAAGATCATATATGTTCAAGCGACAGATAACCACGAGTGTACAAAACACTATAACGTACATAATTTATGCCATGCGTCCATGCTCTCTGTATACATTATATACTACAGTTGCAGCGATCGGATGAGATTCTATTTCAGACCAAGTCTCTCTCTTTCTCTCTCTCACTCTCTCTCGTGATTTGGCGTGACACTCGTGTAGGCGTACAGCGCGAGTACGACGCATTATTACAATATATACGCCACCGATACGCACTAGGATTTGTAACCGTAGGGTGACATAAATCCACACACACAATAATACACTGCTACTAGCTGCTCCTACTACTACTACCACAATAACCACTACCACAAAAACTACTAGTTACTACTACTGTAATAATAATAATACCATATTATACATTACGGTCTACGACTCTGCACGTGTGACAATGGACCTGGCGACGAGCCACGATCTTCACGACCCGACGGAGATCAGACGATACAATAATAACACAGTCGATATAATATAGGCAATATCCCGTCAAACATTTGTAGTTTACGCTCTTATTGTTTACTTATAATAGTAATAATATTAAATGCACAGCGTAGGAGGCACAGGTACTCACTTGCATCAGATTCGTAGTCTTTTCGCGTTTTTTCAGCCGACACTTGGTCGCCGCTATTTTATTGCGTTCCCGCCGCTTTCTCCTCCTCTCCTCGTCCTCGGCAGTTAGCTGTGCACACAAAAACAAAAAAACACCTGTCGTTATCACAAAATTACAATGCAGACAAAACACACCTATATGGCACACCACGCGTAACCTATTATCATACGTTTACATGACGCGTGCACTCGAGGAGAGTCCGTTCATATTATAGTACATAACATATTATTGCTATCATAATTTATTACATACCTACCTAAATACTATAACAAACAACACGAGAGAGAGACAGAGAGTTATCGTGATTATTCACAATGTTTATAATTATGTTACCTATTGAACATTATATAATATTATATAAGTGGGTACTCGGCATGGATACTGCAGAGTGATGATCTGAGATGGGCATCACACAAATATGTAATATAATTTTACAAATTAGGAAGTTCGTGTAATATTAGCATACCCACCCCCTCCCTGACAATATATCTGTATCTTCACCCAGTATGATGTTTAAAGTTAATGATCGATTCTGAATGTCGAGATTATGATTCACGTTTGCGCGTGAATACTTCAATGCACCTATGTAATGTATATTTTATATTGTAATATAATGTATAAGCTCACGCCGTTCTGATTATAAAATGGTTTTGAGGCCGCAACCGGCGCAACCCAAAAGAAGTCACCATATGCAGCAGACGCATGCGACTTGCATGTTAAACACAGGCGAACTCCATAATTATTTACTATTATTATTATTATTATTATTATTATTACTGTTATCCATCGTTTTAGCGGCACACGCGTCAATCGCATTCTTCGGCTGTTTATCGTAGGCGTACATTCGAAAGTGACGTTGTCGCAGCGTTATCATATCTATAAGAACGCGATTTGTACAGAAGAAAAAGGTCGACGGACGGGAAAAAAATACTACAAAGACCGATATCGCGCGCGTGCGCATGAATATTATAATGTATGTACCGCAATCTGACTCGTGCACATAGAACTAGATGAATGTGATTAATAACAAATTTTAGCACTATGAACGAAAAATAATAACATTTTTTCTTTATTTTGACTTTATATAGTTAGGCGTATGACAAATCGGTGAGCCCAAAAAACCCGAGCCGATTTCTACCACCCCTTTCCTGTTTAGCGTCTCTCTTAATCACTATCCTTAAGTACAGGACCCTAGCCTACAACCACTGAGTAGGACATGCGGTATAATATAAATGTATATTATTACTATGGCATGTGATAAGACATTATATATAGGCGTATAGTATTTTTATTGATCATTGGAAGCTTACTCCTTCGCCATGGGACGATACATCATCTCCGTCGTCGTCGTCGTCGTAGTCGTCGTCACCGTGAGACTCCTCGTCGGTCCTTCGTTTTTTCGCGTGTCCGCCGCCCGGCGACGATGCGGCCAGACCAGCCGATGCCGTGGCCGCCACAATCATGGCACACGCACCGGAAGTGATCGGTCCGCCAGTCTCCACCGGACTTCCGCCAGCGCACTTCGATGTTACGGTCGCCGTCGCTGCGTTCCTCTGCTTGGACCGGATGGCCATCTTGAGCTCCTCCTTGATCTTTAGACTGGAACAGATGCTCTGCATACTGACCGTCGGCGACACGGGGGAGCACGTTGACACGGGGGAACAAGTCGACACGGGGGAACAAGTCGACACGGGGGAACACGTAGACACTGGGGAACACGTCGACACAGGGGAAAACGTCGACACAGGGGAAAACGTCGACACAGGGGAAAACGTCGACAAGGGGGAACACGTCGAGCCGGACGAGTCTTCAGACGCGAGTGACCCGTTGACGGGGAAATTTTGGAATGGATCCATCAAGGATATGAGTGAGTTGATCACATCGGGAGTGTTCGGGATCGTTGAACAGCCATGTGGTAGCGCAGCGACCGCTGTCTGACCGCCACCACCGCCACCGGTAACCGAGTAAGACATATTGTTTTGACCGCGAAAAAGGTAACCAAATATGGTGCTTAGTAATCCCGTAAGGCGTTTATAAATCGCTTTGATAATAATATAGGTACTCCAGTATAGTATCTGATCCAGACAAATGTGACAGGTAAGCCTGATAGTGATTCTGAAAAAAAAAAAAAAACACTTTTAATACTCATACACCACAATTATATATTATATTGATTAATTATACCTACAATATTTTATGTAATATTTGATTATTTTTAAATTATTCGTAGGGACTTTTGGCTTTTCTCTATTATACTTATAATTTATTATTTATTATTTTACTATACGAGGGAAATTTTCAAAATATTATTTAGAACCATTTTAAGTAGCTATTGATTTATATCAGCTAAATAGTTATATTATTTTAAATAATAATTTATTATGATCATGTTTGTTGATTGTATATAACATCGGTGTGCAATTTGTTCTTGCAAAATCTGGTTTAACTTTTACTTTTACTGTATTAGAAAAATATTTTAATGATTATCAATTTTTATCTCGATTTAATTTATTACCTTATCTAGTTTTAAATATTTTATCTCTACTAAAATCAGCTAGTATAATTAATATAATATAAAATACAAAATGTGCTTGAAAATGTAGTTGGACAGCCTGTCTCCAGTAAACATTTTTTGTATGGAAACGCCACCTATGATTGGTGAAGTTTTCCTCGGTGTGTTTTTACCATTCATGTAATATTATATAATAATAATATTCTTGACGTGCAGTAAATAGGCATTTTGATTAAATATTCATATTAGTGATTTTTTTTTTTTATTCTGCAGTCATCGGTCAATGACGGTCATCCTCATTCTTTCTATTTCAAAAAAAACGAAAAGGAACTAAAGAGAATGAATACCCAAAATTACACGAGTTCCATTTTTTTTTTTTGTGATCTATGACTGAATCGCAATTTATTATTTCGTACTTCGAGCTCCGTAATAATATAACAACTGACTATAATAATATTTTAATGCTAGCTAGTTAATATATGGCGTGTCAACTACAAACATATTACCATATTCATGAATTATGTGAGATATTTGTCAAAATTTTTATATTTTTTTAAATAGCTAATTTATTTTTATTGATGAAACGCGACAATGCTGTACTCAGCCGCCTGCAAATTGCAATACACAATTAATATTCAACAATATTATGCGGGATATAATGACATTTTCACATTTCACGTTATGTGAACCTCGTAGGTTTTAATACCAGCAAGTTATTAATTTTTAATTCGTAATATTTTACGACTTTTATTATTTCTATGATTTTATAGCTATAATGTCCAGCATTATATACCATTTGATATTTCATGCATAAAATAGTTACCAATTCACAATAATATTGTGATAACATGGTACCTTGTGCAGAATGTAGATATATATACTTTTTAGTGTTTAATGTTTATTTATTATTATTATTCACATAAAACATAATAATATACATAGTATAGTAAACAAAATACAAATCTTAAATAATATTTTAATATCTATACAGCTGAGACGCTGAGTATGTATATTATAATAGTACTACACTACTACTACCCATATAAATTATATCTACACCAGTACACCATAATGTACCTACTTAACGATATTATTATTTCACGACGTGTATGATGTAATTATACTTTTAACATTAATATAATGATGCTAAATTGCGAATATTTTATCAACTTGTGTGTGTTTTTCCACCAGTGAAAAATTAGTGAGATTAAAATAATATATAGGTAGTATTGAATATTAATATAACTACATTATTATTATTTTTTTTTTCACCAGATTAAACCCGATAAGTTTTCAAACGGCCATACAAATACCAGACTGCTGCACGCGTGCATAAAAAAAAAAATCTTACGATAAAATAAAATTTTAGTGGAGTGTGCATTAAATTGTACGAACATTATGAGGTATTATACACCTATAGCTGATTGTATATAAATATTACATAATATACAATAATATTCGCAAGCACGACATAACGCGTTTGTAATATGTACCTAAGAGGTAAAATAATATAATATATTTTATTTAAATGAAAAGGTGTCTAAACGGGTATACAACTTTGCTGTGACGCGTAAGATGTATAACCGTTTAGGCGGTATATTATAATAAACGGTAACCTTTTCGGGACTCGTCGAGTACGCTGCAAACTGCTGTGGATAAATTATTGTGCAATATACACACAATCGAGTGTATAAAACTACGAAAACCGTATACCCGTGGGTAGGTTATACGTATAAGCACCTACGACATTTATTTTCGGGATTCAGGATATCGTATGTGCAGGCCAAGACTTGGGATGCGATTTTGCAGGTACGGAATTTTTTGGAAGCTGCACAGACAAATGTCACGTATATAAGTGTCCTATTACAGTAAGTATATAATTCTGTCATATCGTATGCCTCCGGGTTAGTATTGGATTTTGATATAGTAATTTCCCCTTTTGCTGGAACTTTCCGCGGGTACTTTTCACGTAACATATCGGTACCTACCTATATAATGCGTCTCACAACAAATGTCCCTCAATACTAACAAGGCGGTTTTCACTCAAACCAGGAGTTCACAATTTGGGCTGGTATATTCAATTTTAAATTTCCCGCCGTAATTAGATGCTAATTTTGGAAACCATAACGAAAAATCGCCGCCTGGTGCGTATTGGTATCGAGGGACATTTATTGTGAAATGCACTATAGTATAGTGAGTATATATGCTGCTCTCTTCGTGAGAGAGAAAATATAAAGATAGTCGTTTATTATAATATTCTTGGAATAATTTTTTTTTTTGGACTCTCGTCGTTTTGCGTGAACTTGGATGATTTATTGTTTTGCACCGTAAAAAATCCGTCGATCCGCGATTATAACGCCCACTCGCCCCGCGAATACTCGACCGGAAGACGATAGAGACGACCTAAAGAATAATATTATATATATATACGAGAAGGACGTTGTCGTCGCAGAGCCGCCTGCAGTCGTCAACGTGCGTATTTTTTTCTATTTTTTAATTTTTTTTTAGGATCAAAGCCAAGTTGCGTCCCTAAGTGTATATAGTACAACATGTATATGTGTTATGGCCGTTGACAAACAACCGTACTCAACAATATTTTGCTGGCGGTATTGAATTTCACGGTAAAGGTGACGGTTTTTATTTCGCATAAATCAAACACCCAATGAATATGGATGCAGAACAATAAAAGATTAATAATTATTCACGAGATTCATAATTATTATTATATTTTTATGAGTACGATACATATTAACATGATGTGAAATCTGCAAAAACATGTTCACAAGCGTATTGATATGAGTATAATACAATATAGTATAGTATAGTATAATATTACATGGGCAGTGGCGTCCGCAGGGGGGGGGCTAACGGGCTGAAGCCCCCCCCATTGCCCGTATTATTATTACTTTTTAAAAAAAATATTAATCAAATTTAAACTGTCAACTATAGTAAGCAAGACGTAAATTTCATAATATGAATTATATGACTTACCAGAATGAATTCATTTTTGAAAAAACATTGTATTTGGATACCAATTTTCATAAATTATCTGTAATTTTTCGGTAAAAGAATGAACTACTTGTACGAAAGACCTTGTATTAAATTGTCTAGCCTTAGCTGTACATATTTTATATTTTATAAGTTTTGAACTACAAATTAACTGTGGTTAAATTGTTTTGAACTTTAAATGCATATGTATCGTTAATATTTTAGCTATAATAAAAAAACTTACGTATTACATTTTTAAGCTTTTCGATCAAATACAATCCAAGTGAGGACGGTATAACCAAGCAGGGGCGTATATAGGATTTTCTTGAGGAGGGGGATATCAAAATTTGTTTAGTGCTGTTGCAACTTTTTGTTAGTTAGGTACTCCATGTAAGGTATATAATAATAATAAATGTTGTGTAATGTCACTCACATGCCCACAGGATAACAAAATTATAAATAACTACAGTACTGCAGCAGTTTGTACTTTATACATGGAAAAAAATGGGTAAGGGAGGGGATCTATCCCCCATATCCCCCCATAAATACGTCACTGCAACCAAGCTACTGTTACCAAACAATTTAAATAAGTTTTCATTTTTTTTTCTCCAATTAGGTACTTTTAAAAGCACTGAGCAGATTCAATTTCGACCTCCTAAAAGTACCAACTAGATCCAATTTACTGGGCATCTAAGAGCATATTTTCTACCAGAAAAGTTGAAAAATCACAAACATTTTAAAATACCTCAAATAAACGTATGAAACTATTAGACTGGACAAAATAAAAATAAATTTGTAACTAATTTTCAAGCCCCCCCCCCATTTAAAAATCCTGCGGACGCCACTGTACATGGGTAAATATTATAATATATACATATTTTTTTTTAAATTTACATTTGTTGTATCATAAAATCGTCGATCGTTTTGTATAAGTTCTACGTTTTATTTTTATTATTACATATTTGAATATTTTGTCGGTTGTATAGGACTGCAACAGCGTTTTCAACTTTCCAAACTGCAATGTGTATACTGGTGTGTCCGTGCTATAAAATTTCACATTATATAGGAACTATATATACCTATATATTATATACCTACGATAATAATTTGATTTTTATGTTTCAATAATAATTTCGAGAGGAAAACTTGCGGTAAAATAAAAAAATATTATCTACTACTAGTATGACGTGGGACTCGTATAAAATGTATACTCTGGACTCCGATATACAGCTATAATACAGTTGCTTTTGTTGGGAATTCCAAAACTGAAATATGAAATAAAACTCATAGAATTTCTACTGATATATTATTATTATGTACGTCTATGACATTAATAACAAGGTGTGGCAGGCACCAATCTATTTAGAATTCCGATCGGTTGTTTGTTTCTTTTATACGTGATATGCGAAAAGTATAAGCTAGGTAATCTCATTTGATATGTGTGTACACTGTATAATATTATATTATAATATG